TTATTCCCTACTAAGAACCATAACAAGAAGAGTGAATTGGCCTACGGGACCTTCATTACCCTTATAAACTCTATACACAGCCCTTCTAGGAGCCATACCTCCTGAACCCTCGACCCTAAACCCTAAACCTCAGGGTTTAGGGTTTAGGGTTGGGGGTTTAGGGTTGAGGGTTTTAGGGTTTAGGGTTGGGGGAACTCTAAATCACGAAACCCTAAACCCTTAACCCTATACAAAATCCTCAATCTGCCAACCTTTACTCCTCCCTTTGCGGGTCTGGGTCCCGCCATCTTTGGGCACGAAAAGCAACAATGCTGAAAGACGGTTTAGGGTTTCGGGTTTAGGGTTTAGGGTTTGAGTTTAGGGTTTAGGGTTTAGGGTCTAGGGTTTAGGACCAGGTTTAAGGTTTAGGATTCATGTCAATTTCTCAGAAAAATGCCCAGAACCCCAGGCATTAAACCCTGAACCCTAAACCGTCCTTGAACCTTGGATCCTGAACCCTACACCTGGAGCCCAAAGCCCTAAACGTTGAGCCCAACCCCTTGCCTAGACAGTCCAATGTAGTTCTTTTTTGGGCTTGGTATGGTTTTTTTGGTTAGGACTGTTGTTCGGACTACCAAAAAGGTACTACATTGGAGGTTCGAGGAAGCCCCGAGCTGCGAGCCCGCCCAGAGCCCCCAAAACCCTGAGGCCTACACATCATGAAGCCGTCACTCCAAGAGGTCATATGAGGGTTTCTCAGAACTGTCCACATTAACCACTAACATAATGAAAGGCTTTGGGTAACCCCAAACCTCCAAACTAGGACCCTAAGACTATAGGGTCCTAATTTTGGAGGTTGGGGTTGCCAAAATATCTCATTATAATACGGAACCCCCATAATCCTCTCGTAATCCCCAAACATCCCCGCAGCCCCCAAAGACCCAACCCTAAACCCTAAACCCTAAACCCCTTAAACCCTAAACTCTAAACCCTAAAAACCCTAACCCCCTAAACCCGAAACCTAGGCCTTGCTACTGAACTTGGACTTCATGATGCTGCCGAAGATGTTATCCACCGAAACTGTGGAGGGCAAGACCATGTTGAAGCACATGAACCTGGGGACGTGGGGTTTAGGGTTTTTTGGTGGTTAAACCCAGTAAGATTATATTCCTTATATAAATACTCTACCCCCAAAGGAAGATACAATCTTACTCTATATTGGGTACCATAGTATCCCCAAATAGAATACTACTCAAGTGGGGTTTAGGGTTCATGGTTTCCCTGTGATTACCGTTTAGAGTAACAGGAACCACAAGAGGTAGTAGGAGTCATACCCTAAACCCTAGTCCTTTAATGAAAACTATGACGGGATCCCAAGAGGTCTTTATTAGAACCCCAAGAAGGGCATATCTAATAAGGGTATCTTGGTAACCCCAACCCCCAAAACTAGGACCCTAGAACCATCATAGAATAGTCATGGAGTCCTAATTTTGGGGGGTTGGGGTTACCCTAGTCCATTTATTAATATTACCTGTAGTCTAAACTCCTAGTCTTGCCCTTCATAACCCCTATGGTAGTCTCTTATATAATCCCGTATATAAACCCCATTAGGAATTTAGGCCCTAAACCCTAAACCCTAAACCCAAATTCAGTGACTCACAAGGTCCACGAGACTGGGGAACTGCACAGGCTTCCAACAGGAGAGGGTATGGGTTTATGGTTTAGGGTTGGGTACTGCCCCCCCCCCAGTAACAGTCTATATTAGTGGTCCTATTAAGGCCTATATGTAAGCATATTAGAGTTTTTATCCAACTGCTACTGAGGGGGGGCTGTACCCAAGTTTAGGGTTTAGAGGGCTGAAGTGAATACCAATGCGATGGTCCTAGAAGCCTTAAACTATGGTATTGGGTACCTGAAAAAATCAAAATGAAGCTTGTAATTGTTCAGGGCTCCATGGTATGCTTTGCCCAAAACTCTAGGTTTAGGGGGATGTCGGGATATAGGACCGAATGATGGACGATGAAAGAAAGGGAAACTTACATAAAAACTGGAATTATATTGGCTTGCATTGAATCGGAATAACATTACACGGAGGGTCAGGGGGACATCGCGAGCAGGTTGATAATGGAAACATTTAGGGCTGTTGTTGTACTCTAGCCTCCAAGTACCTCTTACTTGATGGACGTAGTCAACAAATCTTTGGTATAACCCCATTGCAATAGTGTCCATTTTATTTTCCATGAATCCAATATAACCCCCAATATATACCCTGTAATCCCTATATAACAAAATCTTGAGCAACTCTCGTTCAAGGTATCAGCTGACGTCGACATGGAAATCTGGACCCTTGCTTGGAGGGCCATGGGGACTTCTTAAATAGGTTAGTGGGTGGGAATAGCTGGGGTTGTTATGTGGCTTATAGAGGTTATTAAGCCCTCCTAGCCCTCCAAGTAGAAGCCCTACCCACGGTCTATGTCCAAATGCTGAGCATGCGCGAAAACAGTCCCAAAGGCTCCATGTAGCTATATATATATATATACATGGGCCCTAAAGTAGTTGTTTGGGAACCTTTTGGGCCCTAAGTATATACTATAGCTACATGGAAACTTTGGGAGTGGGATCATGTCTAGCATAACGTTCAGCAGACCAGTCCTCATTCCTGGCACGCTCGGTACTTTCCTAAGATAGGGGACCACAATATAAACTAAACCCCACAAAATGTTGGAGTCCTTTTTATATAGGACCCCAAAGGGTACCCCAACTTTTGCGAAACCCCACAACACACCCTAAACCCTAAACCCTAAACCCCAAACCAACACCCCATACACATGGTCAAAGTCCAGTTCACGGATCTTCCCTATGTGCCCCCCACACACACGTTTAAGCCCCGAACACCCGGGAGTACCCTTGGCAATGGCAAACCTGCAGAAAAAGATTGAACAAAAACCAAACGTGTGTACTCCAACTGCGCAGACTTCTTAAGAAAATCGACCCTATGACTTACTGCCTGTTGGCAGGGACTGGAACAACGGATCCCTACCGTTGTCACTCTGTAAGCCTCAAGAATAGTAACTGCTTCCACGTGCTTTTCCGTTTCTTCAGTCCCTGCTAAAAGCCAACAAGAAAAAGCGGGCCGAACTCCGAAACTGCTTCGGGTGACTTGGACTTGTAGCGGTTCGGGATGTCGTTCTTGCCGCCGCCTGCGGCATGAGCTCTGTTGGGAAAAGAATTGTACATGTACACCTCTCTGTGAGTACGCTACCAATGGTAAGCCGAAGTTTGTCGAACCCACGAAAGGTCAGTCGAAGGTAGTCGAACTCCAAAGGGCTCACCGAACCCCCAAAGAGGGTTCTGCGAACGGGTTCTACTAACCCCCAGAGGGGTTCTACACACCCTGCGAAGGTTCTGCGAGCCCCCACAACCCTCGCGAACCCCCGTCGCAATGTGTTGCGAACGCTGGTGGTAGGGCTCCGAGGTGAACCCCCAGTGTTGTGTAGACATATGTTTTGCCTTGCTTAGGAAGGGATAACGCTAGCATGGAACCTGACAAGAGTTTCCATGACTTAGGATATATGCCCATACTCCTTGCAACATGGAGCCCCAGAAAGAGTCCTACGAAGACAACCGTCCTTGTAAACGAGCACTGTATGGGCTACAATGTTATACTTCGTGGGAGGATAGCCAAGTACAGCTTGATTCAGCATGCATGCTGTACAATGTGGGCTTCTTGAAGGTGTGAGATTGCATTACCAACCTTGGTTCAGCATGATCATAAGGCTGCAATAAAGTCACTAACAACCGCCTTAGGGTCTGAACAGCATGCTTATCTTCTTCTTGTTGCTGCTGCTACTGCTTCTGCTAGTGCTACTGCAGCTGCCGCTGCTGCTGCTGGTACTGCTGCTTCTTCTTCTTCTACTTCCAGTCCCGGTACTTCGATTTCTACAATGACATGCTGCTCGTGCTATAGTACCGCGAAGATAGGTTAACATGTGGATTGAGGGGCCCTATGAACAAGTTCTGGCTTCAAAGGGATTATATAAGGGTCATGGTCCATAATAAATACAAAAACCCTAAGCCCTAACCAAGGCATATAGTCCCCCTTAAGTAGATAGAATATGGCTTTGGGAATATTATAATAAGATCCCCATATACCCCATATTCTATCTGCTTAAGGGACACTATAACCCAGCTGCGCACTTCCGAGCCCATCTTGGACCCCTTCGCTCTTTCGCAGCTCTCAATGGCACGATATCCCGCACGTTGTCGCGTGGCTTCTATTCCTTCTCCGTTGAAACCCTAAGAGGCCCTAAGAAATCCTGGCAAACCCCTCACCCCGAAGCCTAAAATCCTAAAGAAGGCCAAGAGCTCCTTCGAAAAATGGGAGAACCCTAAACCCTAAACCCTAAGCCCTTATAGGAAGGCATCCTAGATTGATGCGAGAGTCACAGGGTCCTCATTTTGCAGGTTGGGGTAGCCAAAAGCCCTAAAGCCTAAAACCCGAAACCCTGAACCTAAAACTCTAAGCCCTGAACCCCGAACCCTTAACCATAAGCCCTCCGCCTTGAACCCTAAACTAACCAGAAACCCTAAACCCTAAACCCCCAAAACCTAAGCCCTAAACCCTAAACCCCCTCAAAGACCCAGCCTGGATGGCCCATTGCTCCGATATACTGCAAGCCTTCGATGCTCTTGAAGTCGCCACCTTTCTAGGATTTGGGGTTTAGGGTTTAGGGTTTAGGGTTTGGGTTTAGGGTTTAGGGTTTAGGATTTGGGTTGGGATTTCCCAAAATAGGAGTCCTTTTGAAAGGGGCTAGAGGGGCTCTATAGGGGTATATAGGGAAGTTCAGGGCTTGGGGTTTAGGGTTTACGGTTGAGGGGTTTAGGGTTCGGGGTCTAGGGTTTAGGGTTTGTGGTTTAGGGCTTAAGGTTTGAAGTTTAGGATTTAGGGACTAGAGCGCACGGTTGAAGGTCTAGAGTTTGGGGTTTCAGGCTTAGAGCTTCGGAATGAGGGCTGCGCCCATAGAAAATATTGTGTGGGGTGTATGTCCAGGGTTACGTGCTTGGAGTGGTTGGCCCCTGATACTACTTCTTTTCATTCTGAGCTTGAGAGTTTAGGGTTTTGGGTCTCGGGTTTATCTGCCAGCTGCTTTCAGTTTGCCTATTTGGCTGTTCCGAGAAGGGGGGGAAGCCCATGTACGGTACGGACCTATATGATAGGGGGAACTCAAGCACAGAGAGGTGCCATATGCCATGTAAGGAAATTAACAGTTTAAGGTTAGGGGATTATCGGCGCCACTGAAGGTGCTGCGTTATGACATTGGGTTTAGGGTTTGGAGCCTAAGATTGTTCTGATTTTGGAAATGACCTGCGTCCTTTATGATTTTGGATTCGGGATAGCTGTCTGGTGACTCTTTTTTTGGAATCCAGGAGCCGGGGATCCAGTTCCGCTTTCCCCCCAGGGATCCCAGCAGAGCCTGATAACAACCCTGACACTTGCCACCGCGTCTGGGTTGCTGCCACCGCGTCTGGGTTGCAGTTCAGGGTTTAAGGCTCAGACTGTCGGGGTTCAAGGTCTGGAGTCTAGAGCTTGAGTCATCTGCTGGAGAAAATAATGCCAAAATCTGCGAGGATCGAAATGTTCACCACCAAGATCTGCAAGACCCTGAGTCAATCATGAGAGATAGACAAAGCTGAACCCCTTCTACAAGCAACCTTCCTGAAAAAAGGGCAAGCCCAAACCTCAAGACCCTTATCCTGAATCCTAGTTGGCGGGTCAGCGGCGCTAATGGGGCATTTTTCTGGCTTATAGGGGTTAGTTGTATGTTTTTATAGTATACTTACTTGCTGAGTCCCTGTCACCGTCCAAAACCCCTTTACTCCCTATAATATATGCCCCTCTGTAAACCGATGTCCATGTCATGCTCCATGTTCTTTTCCATTCGGTTCTGCCTTGTTCTATAATAAGGGATTGCAATAGTACCCCCCAAAGGTACACCCCCCAGATTTAGAACCCTATTCGGCCTTATTAAGCCCTATATAGTCCTTACCAGTATTAGCTCCTTAAATCCGGGGGGGTACCTTTTGGGGGGTACTATTGTAATCCCTTATATAATCT